AAAAGAAACTGTCCAGATGACCTGACTGAAAAATGTTGGATTGTATACCTGGATTATTGAGCATGGACTTTGTTGTTTTCAACCAGTTTGACAAGACTGTCAACAAGGTAGAGGGCCGGCAATGGAGGAGGGGGCGTGCCAAAGAGACCATCTTAGCACCAACATAACTGGTTTGTTCCACTTTGGAGTAAGCTGTTGGGGGAAGAATCAGTTTTGTGTTGTGTGTTTCCTTGACTGATGAAGCCTTCTGGATGGAAGGCGAAATGTTTCAGCACAAAAAAAGAAACTGTCCAGATGACCTGACTGAAAAATGTTGGATTACATCATAGGATTTTTGTTCTGCTGTCAGTACGAGCTGGCAAACCCCTTCCACAGGACCCCTCAGCCAGGTAGAGGAATCTCTTTCGCTGGTCTGATCTCCAGATCGACTGGATTGACCTCTCACCAAATCAACCAGAGGCAACAAGTACTTCCTCACAGTGACATGTGCATTCACCAAATGGGTTGAGTGATTACCAGCTCCATAGGATACGACAGAAACAACTGCCTATCTGCTAATGAACCACGTCTTCTCTCGTTTTGGTCTCCCAATTTATGTTAGCTCTGACACGGGGACCCATTTCACTTCCATAGTGATGCACCAGTTGTGGCAAATGCTAGACATGAAGGCCCATTTCCATGTTGGCCACCATCCTCAAGCATCTGGTCAAGGCAACTGTGCAAATCGTTCAGTTGGATTATCTTATAGAAGAACGTAGGAACTAACCGTTGAAACGGGGACATCAAACTGCCCCTCATCCTCATGGCATCCATTCACATCAATATCCAAGATTACTGCCACCATATATGTCCATCCACCATCATATAAGTAAGTAAACCAGACACTCCAATAATTTGAGCAATCTATACATTCTAGTTGTCATTTTGCTTAAAACACTGAAGAGTAGGCTACCATTGACCACCACTTTGGGCTCTGCCATTGTGCCTTGTGGATAAAATTACTCCTTCTGCTTGCCAGGATCTGCCACTCTGCATTGCCTTGGACAATAAAAGACAAACCCCCTGAGGGGGTTGGATGTTGGATAAAATGTTGGATTGTATACCTGGATTATTGAGCATGGACTTTGTTGTTTTCAACCTATGATGTAATCAATGACATCTATTCCAGGCAAGTAGGTGACTTGTTTCAGAGCATTCAAGGTTGTCTTGACACCTTTGAGTCTGCTCCTCTTCAGGACCACCCCTGCTCCATTTTTCTTTCTATCCAGACCATGTTTTATTTTTTTTCTTTCGGCTGCTCCCTTCCTCAGGGATTGTCACAGTGAACTAAGTCGCTGAGGTATTTTGACAGTGAATGTTTGTAGGGAATGTAAGTAAACCTTAATGTCTTTGGAGCAAGATATTCAAGTGGGTAGAAGTTCCACTGTGTAAAAGAATAGAGGTATGTTAGTTTTGTTTGGGTTTTTTGTGGTTGTCCGAGGCAGTGCAATTTAATTCATTACCATGCGCACTGGTGGAGCCAGGTGGCCACTGGTAGCATTGGTCACCATAGATAAATCATACATTTTCAATTCTACCTCTTCATTCACTGAAGGGGGGCAAAAAGTCAGAAGAGAATTTAAGTTTTTAAGTCTGTGTAAAATAAATGAAAACAATCAAGCAAACGTGATTATAACATTTTATAAATGCAACAAAATTCATTGCAACACATCAAATAGATCCTTCAAGACGCGGACCTGGAAATTACCACTACATTATGTGTCTTTGCAGAATTTTACTTAGAAGCATTTATTTTAGCTGATTAAATTTTGACCACTGTTTCACACCAGTTCTTCAAATGAAGGTCTGATCCATTACTTGTCTAATTTTTGTAGGTATCATCTCAGGAGGAATGGTTGTAATAAGACAGGAAGCACATCATTGATCACACTGCAGGATCAGACCGTCCTTCGTGACGAGCCACAGATGTCCCAGGTCATAGCTGACATGTTTGATGGGCAGACAAAAGGGGATTTGGGCCCAGTCGGTGCCTTCTGGAATGCTGTCTGAGATGCCAGTTCTAAAAAAAAAAAAAAAATTATTATAAAGATAGCAAACACCTGAGTGTGAAAATCCAGATGAGCGCCATCTTTCTTCTTTAATAGGTTAGAATGATTTGTGTGAAATCCACACTGGAAGTTTTAAAAGTGTGACCCAGCACTTAAGAATAAAATGAGAATCTTCACCAGCATTAAAAATAAAACATTATTCTTTTTTCTTTTTTTTTTTTACTAAAACCACTGGAGAAACAAGTGCAACAAATTTCATAGCATAGCCTACCATCTTTTCCTCAAACACGTGTCAGCTAAAGAATTTACATTATAATTTTATTTTAAATATATAGTTTTTCAGAACTCTAATTCAACGTACTTGGTGCTATTTTAACTGTTCATATGTGAAAACATTCGGCTGATTCAGGAGATGCATGCTATGACTTTAGTTTTGTTTGTATTTTTTTTTTTACCTTTCAAAATATTTAACATGATTTCCCCCCCCCCCCCCCCCACTGGCTCTGTAACGAGGCGCACACATTCTCCCCGCTCCCTGTTCTCCTCCTGCTTTTTTGCTCTCTGTCTGTGTACAGAAGCAGCTCCTATTTTTACACATCTTCCGAAATGAAAACTACTGTTTTGGATCTGACCAACTGGACTTTCGACGCAAATGACAAAATTTTTTCAACAAAGCGACAGGGTCCTGGAGAACCCTCATCTGCTCGAACGACACACATGCAGCTGGACATATCTCTGGAGGTGATGTGTCTACCTCTGCTATCGAATGAGGACGCCAAAATTGCAGATAAGTGGATTTATGATTCCTGTTTTTGGAATAGTCTGGATCCTGGTTTATCAAAATACAAAGAAGACGGTCGCAGCTAATTTGGACCTTGTCAGACTGCTGAAGGTTGGTTCGTGCTTTGAGGACTCAAAATCAGCTGATTTATGAGCTAAACTGTAAGTTGGAAGTGATTTGAATCACAGGCCACCTGCAGCTTTGGGACTCGTCAGCATGGAAACAATCTTGAAGAGGTCTGTAAGCATGGACCAGTAGAATGCACCCTAATCTGGCCATTTCGGACCTTGGAAGGTTATCAGTACAGACTCGAGGGTGACTAGGAAAAATAGTCTGCCTGAATAAATCAACAATTGTGGATTATCTGAATCTGACTCCCCAGTCGGCCTCGAAACAGGTCGACTTATCAATTTTTCCTGGGAAATGTATAAACTAAGGAAAAGCTTTGTTTTTCGCACCCCCCCCCCCCCCCCCCCCCTTCTGTGGAGGCTTATCAGAATTGTGCCAGCTGACCATCATCTTATCAGGACAATGGACTATCTGTTAGTGCTTCATGGACCACCTCGTCATAAATGCATATGTAACGTGTTCATAAATGTGCTGGCTGAGTTTTTTTGGTCTTAAATCTTGTCCTGTTAGGACAAGGTGTGAAGAGATATTTTTTGTAATGCCACGACTTTGGCTTTCTCCCTTTTTCTATCTAAAAAAAAGTCTTCTGAAAAGAATAAGAAGACCGCGCTTTATAGCAGCAGCTTTGTGCACTCCGTCTGATGGTAGTCAAACTGCAAATACTGGTCTGTGTGGGTGGGTTTGCGGTACACCTCAGTTTGCAAATGCCCTCTATCAGAGACTGAGACCTCACAGTCCAAGAAAGCCAACCTGACATTTTTTGCATCTTCTCGTGTGAACTTGATGTATTTATCCACAGAGTTGATGTGGTCAGTAAAATGTTGGACTTCCTGAAATTTAATTTTAACCCAGGTGTCGTCAACATACCTGAACCAATGACTTGGTGGTGTCCCTGAAAAGGACGTCAAGGCTCTCTTTTCTACCTCCTCCATGTACAGGTTGGCAACAATAGGAGAAACTGGAGACCCCATAGCACACCCATGTTTCTGCCTATAATATTGCTCTCCATATGTGAAGTAGGTTGACTGCAGGCACAGTTTCAAGAGTTGACACAGTTGTTCTGTGGAAAGCGTGGTCCTGCTGCTCAGAGTGGTGTCTGATTTTAATCTTAAACTGACCACCTCTACTGCATCATCAACAGGAATGCACGTAAAGAGTGATGTGACATCAAAAGAGACCATGTTTCATCAGTCTCCATGATGACATCCCTCACCTTGTCCACAAAGTCCATGGTGTTCTGTATGTGGTTTTCCGAGCTGCCAACTAAAGGAATGAGTACAGATGCCAAATATTTGGAAACATTGTAAGTGACCGAGTTAATCATGCAAACCGAGGTGTACCGCAAACCCACCCACACAGACCAGTATTTGCAGTTTGACTCCCATCACCCTTTGGAGCACAAGTTAGGAGTCATCAGGACTCTGTATCACAGAGCAGACAGCGTCCCCACTAACTCAGGAGCCAGGCAGAAGGAGAAATCCTGCACAAGACAGGCTCTAGAGCAATGTGGATATCTTAACTGGGCCTTCCTGAAAGCAGAGAAAAAACCCAAACAGGACTCCAGTCAGCCATCAGGTGAAAAGGAGGAACCCAGACCCAGACCAGTGGTCATTTCGTATGTTGAGGGAGTATCAGAGAAACTGAGACGTTTATTTTCTAATCATAACGTCCCAGTGGCTTTTAAACCCCAAAATACATTAAAGACTGGTTCATCCCAAAGATCCAGTCCCCCGGCACAAACAGAGTAATATTGTGTATGCTGTTTAGTGTCAGGAGGGCTGTGATCAGTCTTACATCGGGGAAACTAAACAGCCACTGGCCAAAAGGATGGCCCAGCACAGAAGATCAACATCATCAGGCCAGGACTCTGCGGTCTACACTCATCTCCAGGCCAGCGGTCACTCTTTCAGGGATGAAGATGTTCACATCCTGGACAGAGAGGAACGATGGTTTGAGAGAGGAGTAAAGGAGGCCATCTTTGTGAAAAGAAATCGTCCATCATTAAACAGGGGTGGAGGCCTCCGGGTTCAACTGTCCCCCTCTTACAATGCTGTGATTGCTAGTATCACTCAGCCCTCTGTGAATAGTAAACAACCATCAGTGTGCTAATGATCCATTGTTAGGCTGATGGTCCTTCTTGACCATGTGAGCAGCTGGTTTTGGTTGTCAGCAGCAAACTGGTTGATCCACTCTGAGAAGGTGCTATTTAAGAGACTGAGCTGAATACAGCACCTCAGACTGAGGAAGTCTCTCGGATGAGAGACGAAACGTTTCTATATTTTTTTGCTTTGTTTTGTTTTTTTTGTTTTTTTGAATGTCCAGAGGACCAGATTGAACTTTTTTGGATTTTTCTACTTGGATTATTGAGCATGCATCAGGATATTTATATCTTTATGTTTGAAGCCTGAAATGTGGCAAAAGGTTGAAAAGTTCAAGGAGGCCGAATACTTTCGCAAGGCACCGTAAGCAAATTTGTTGATGCCATCCGTGACTCTAATACTGACAATGCACTTGTTTTCAGAGCAAAAACCATGCCATATTCCCACGACTCCACAATTTAGCATTGAAGGTACTGTCAGTCCCTGCCTCCTCTGCACCAGTGGAAAGTGTTTTCAGTCGAGGGGGTATTTTAATGAGACCCCATCATGCACGTTTAGGCCACAGTATGTTGCAATCTCTCATGTTTCTAAAATGCAATGAAACCTTACTTTAAACTAATTTCCATTTATGTAACTTTTTAGGTGTATATCTACTACTTTATTGAAGCCACTGTGCAACTATATGGTTATCCTTGGTCTTGAGTTCTGACTTATGGAGAGTGTTTTGCCACTGCAGTTTTTTAAGGTTTAGCATGTGATGAATCTGCTTCCATTTTAACAGTTATGTAATTTTATTGTTGAAACGTGAAGTTAGGTCACTGAATGTCTGATTTCTTTGTTATGTAGCTTTAAAATTTTATAAAAGTTGATACATTCATTCAAAAGCAAACAGAGTTGCAGTATGTAACTTTTATAAAAAAAAAAAAATTATAATAAAATGTTGTATTTTTTTTTATTTGGTCTTGTTCTCGACTTGGTCTCAGACCCTAAAAGTCTTGGTTTTGCCTTGGTCTCAGTACACTCTGGTCTTGGCCTTGACTTGGTCTTGGGTTAGGTGGTCTTGAACACAACACTAAGTTACAGTAGTCTAGTTGGGTTGTAATGAAGTCATGGACTATTATTTCAAGATCAGATCTGGTCAACTGACTTCAGCTTAGCTATCTGCCTTAAATGGAAGAAGCTTTTCTGCAGAACAGTGTTAATCTGTTTTTTAAACTTAAAGTCCAAGTTTAAAACCATCCTGAGATTTGTAACAGACTGATTAAGATATGGCTCAAGAGAGTCAAGGTCAACAGGAACAGAGACAGCAGTAGAGCTAGGGCTAAACACAATAACTTCAGTTTTCTGATTGTTAAAACTTAAAAAATTGGAAACCATCCATGCCTTGATGTCCTCAAGACATTCTAACAGAAAGTGAATGGAGCAAGAACTACTGGGTTTTAAAGGCAGATAAATCTGACAATCATCAGCATAGCAGTGAAAAGAAAGACCATGTTTCCTTAAGATAGAAGTTAATATTTAAGCTTTTACCGCAAAATCTGCATTTTCTCTTTACTTCAATCTCAGATTATACACAGAACTTACCTTTGGTAGATATTGCCATTTGAGTTTACAACAAAGACACTCCCATCAGTCCCAACTTCAACCATACTTGCTGCTCCAGGTATATTTTTCCAGCCACTGATGTCACAGGTGGATGGTGTAACTTTCTGTAAAACAAAACCCATGATGAGAAGCCCCAACCAATGTGGAAACTATTGGTACAGTTGACAGGAAAAAGAGGAATTTACCGTGAAGTAAATCTGAAAGTTCATATTGACTCCCCAGCATCCTATGGAGCCGCAGCTGAAGTACATCAGCGACCCCGGCAGCTCATTCCAGCTCACAGTGCCAACTTCCTCATAGGATGATGCAACCTTACTTTTCAGGCAGTGAATGGTGTCAGCGGTGTTTACTCCCACTATCTGAGCATCACCTCCAGCATCCACCTGCTTTAAGTCCAAACCTGAAGACACAAAGTGTTTAATCTCCATTTTAAAATAGGAAGAATATTTCACATAGCTGTCTATGAGCAACAGTGTGGTCACCATGAACGGGAATGAAATCCCCTGCTACAAATTTGTAGACTGTGTTAGAGGAGCTGACTCCCCAGATTCCCGCAGGTCCAACTGAGACGTGCTTTAGAGCAACAGAGCCCAGCTCCACCCAGGATGAGCCACTCAGGGAGAACACGTTGGAGTTATTGTCTGTCAACACAACTTCTCCCAGACCGGCATCGACCTGTGCAGCAGGAAACTGCTGAGGGGCGGCTTTGCAGGTCCAGCCTGTGGAGAAACCAATTTAATTAATTAATGCAATACCTTTCTTAAGTTTGAATTTAAAAGCTTACACAATTCTATACTGTACTAAAAGAACCTACCATGACAGGCAGAGAAAATATCCAACACAACCAAGAAGGTTGCAACAGCTTTCATGATGTGTTGTGTATCCTTCTGACCAACTCTGAGTGCTCTGCTGGATTGTTGTCGCTCACCTTCCTCATGTTCGGTTTTCATGGTATGGACCCAAAGGACTGGCTTATGAGACTCATCTAGTTTAACAGGTATCTCTAGAAATAAGCAGGTGAAGAGTTTTCCCCCTTTTAGAAATTCTGTCAGTTTCCCAGTCTTGGTCCTTCAGGCATTCTCCCTTACATCTATGTTACCCTGACGAGAAAAGATAAAAACAACAAACTATACATTTACAGACTAGTTTTTCTTGGAGGCTGTCTTTCAGTATGGGCATTTTAACAAAGACCAACTTATGAGGAGAACAGAAGCCATTTTAGTCAAACTTTGTACAGGCAATAAATTATGTTAGTTGCAATCTCATGTACAAATGGTTAGCACTCTGTATGTGCTGGGAATAATACTCAGCTGCTACCACAACAAGTTTTATTTTAATATCCACAGAATTTACTGAGTTCTATTCATTTTCAGTGAGGTTTAGGTGTTCTGTGTTGGGTCATGTTGATTAGCTGTCTTACATTTGGGGGCCAAGATAATTAACATACACAGGTTGTGTGACAAGTTGTTGCACAGGTAGTGACACTGAGATTGAATTATGATGGTAAGGTAGACACATAGATACTGTATCATTCATGATACAGCCTAGTATCAGAACGATGGCTGTTGTCATGTAGACATACGGCTAAGCTGTGGCAAAAAGTCTCTGGTTTCACTCAAAAGAAAGTGTTGTGTAAATAGGGCCTAAAGCACTGATTAGGTTCTACAGAATAATTTATTCAAGCTAGCTTTGTAGAGATGCAGTGTAGTTCTTGATGAATGAGTGTGACTGGGTCAATAAAAACAATAGTTTTTAAAGTGCTTTAAGTAGCTTGGCTAGCTAAAAAGACTCTACACAAGTACAGTCCATTCATAATTTGCGGCTTATTCTGTAGTTGGGTCGTAGGGCAGCAGCTTGAGCAGGGCGATCCAGACATCTCTTTCCACGGCCACCTCTTTCAAAGTCAAAGTTTCTTTATTTGTCATTCACACCACACATGGTACATGTGGTGGAACGACATTGTGTACACAGGGTCCCAGTTACATCCAACAAAAGTATAAATTGTAAAGAAAAACAGTAATAAGATCTAAGATATGAACTAAGAAATACGATAAACTAAGAATACACTAATATTACAAAAACAATACGCCGAACAACAAAGCACAAACATGAGTCTGTGTGAGCAGCTCATCTCTTCAACTCTTCTGAGGGGAATTTAAGGTGTTCCCCGGCCAGCCAAGGGACATAGTCTTGGCATCGTGTTCTTGGTCTTCCTCGAGGTCTCATTCCAGTTGAACATACCTCGAAAACCTCCCCAGGGAGATGTCCAGGGAAAGTACTTATCAGATGCCTGAACCACCTCAACTGGGTCATCTTGATTTGGAGGAGTAGTGGCTTTATTCCGAGAAGGTTGGGAGGGAGGTGTTGCCTAAAGTGGAGAAGTAAGTACAGCCCATTTACCATTCAGTTTAGGGTGTGTCCAAAGTTCAGTCAGTTGTAGATGTGCATCCACTAATTATTTTCTGAAAGATTCATTAAAATAGGTGCAGTGGTGCATATTTTGCTGAGACAGTCAAGATCAATGGTAAAGATTTAAGAAAAAATATTGCACAATGGGGATATGCAGCTGGAGTCGCATCAAATTTTAGCCTAATATCTGTGAAACTGACCGAGGTATAGTGTTGGTGTCACTAAGGTCAATTGGCTGTGGCAGCCATATTGAATCAGGTTGATTCAAAAAGATCATCAGCGGTATGTACATTTTCAGATTGCTTTCTAAGAGATTCATTGAAACGTATCCATTGGTTCATGGGATAGGGGATACTTTAAATTTTCTACAGAAAAAACAAGCACATAAACACACAGTTTTGTGTTGAAACGGGGATACATTCAAACCCGCCATACAAGTAAGGTACAGTAAGTTTGCCTTAAGGACATGGGTTACTAAAATCACAGCTAATTTTTTTAACTTTCAAATGATGGTAAGAATGCGCTGAGGGGAGTTAAGAACTGGAAAGGGTACTTTCTGCCCAATAGGCCCGTTAGACACCTGCTTACAAGAAATATGCTGGCCATTTTGTAGTGCTGTTTTTCAAGTAGCATGAAGATGCAGTTCCCTGATTATGACCTCTTACCAGATTCACCCTGAGCTGTTTTCAGGGCAATCGGGAATCGGCAACTTCAGCTGACTGACACTTCAAAACATAAAACATGAATCTCGAAGTGAGAAAAACAATGTTTCATCTTCAGTAGTTTCTGGAGCTCTACTTTGCTTCCAGCAAAAATTGTAACTGAGCAAACTTGTTTTATTTTCTCAGGGAAACGATACGAACATCAGACGACCACATCAGGATGGGAAAAACAGAAGAACTGAAACGTGTCCCACAAAGAAACTTTGTTTGAACCATCAGCTCTCAGAAATATTTTGTCAAACTCTCATATATCTGAGTACTCCCCTCTGATATAAATAGATTCCGGCTCAAAAACACTTAAAGACAGGTGTCTCTCAAGGAAAAGTTTTTTCTTTTTTTTTGTGGAAAAGCAGAACCCATAAGTATTAAAACATATTATATTTATAACATTTTACTTAAAAGAGCACAACCTTCTTGAACTGTTTCAATCTGGTTTTAAAACTCACCACAGAACAGTAGTCCCTCGATTATCGCGGGAGTTATATTCCAGACACCCCCACGATAGGTGAAAAACTGCGAAGTAGGAACGCTATATTTATTTGAGTATACATTAAGGCTTTATAAACCCTTCCTGCACTCTTGCAATGTTCTTAACAATGTTCTAAACTCTTAAACCTATGTCATTTCAACAACATATGTATATACAGTACTGCAAAATTTTATACGGGTACTCACCAGCTCTGCAGACCAGCAGCTCGGTTCCGGTTCGGCAGACCTACCCTGCAGCGACGAAGCCCACCGCCCCTTCCAGATTAATGTGCACGTAGATAATTGAGCTGCAGGAAGCTTCAGGATTATTTGCAACTTTCCTGCCAGTTCTGTGAACTTAACAGATAGATTGTTACTTCTGACTTTGCGTTGCAAAACTTTCCCTCCATTTCGACGGAAAACAGTGTCTGAAAGCACTGTTGGCTTCTGGGAAGTGTAGTTCTTTTGCCTTACATTACAGTATAGGCTTATTGAATGAAAACTAAAAATGGCGGCGCCTGTCCGAAGTATTTTTTTCATTAACTTTCTATCACCTACCATCCCAATCGGGTGATTGTGTGTTATCTACAATCTTACGTTGAAAAACTGCAAAAGAGTGAGTCCATGTAAGTCGAACCGCGAAGGGACTGCTGTACTGAGTCAGCACTGCTGAAAGTTTTTAATGACATTCTTTTAGCCACAGACTCTGGTCATTGTGTAGTTTTAATGCTGTTTGGACCTAACTGCTGCCTTCAACACAGTGGACCATCAGATCCTCTTGTCTCACATGGAGAACTGGGTGAGCATTCAGGGTCCTGCTCTACAGTGGTTTAGATCCTATTTAACAGAGAGAAGCTTTTGTGTGCATATTGGAGCTGTTGAGTCCTATGTAGCACCTATCACATGTGGAATACCTCAGGGATCTATACTTGGCTGGCTCCCTTCTGTATTCCATTTATTTTACTCCCTCTTTTCATTTTTATGCTGATGACAACCACATTTATGATCCATTAAAACAAGATAAACAGTACTCCATGAACCAACTCCTGGAATGTCTGGTGGAAGTCAGCATGGATGTCACAGAACTTTTAACATTTTAATGAGAAAAAGACAGAGGTCTTGTTATTTAAACCCAGTGATTGTTCCAAAGTTCATGCAGATCTAGGTCCTTTAACCTAGTGTTGTAGTCAAGACCACCTAACCCGAGATCAAGTCAAGACCAAGACCAGAGTGTACCGAGACCGAGACAAGACCAAGACTTTTGGGGTCGACCAAGTCGAGACCAAGACCGAGGGAGGGCAAGACCAAGTCAAGACCAAGACCTCAAGTCTTGAAGCTCAATCTTTTCACAGATTATCTGCCTTATACTATACTGTCACAACATAGTGGCAGTTTTAACAAATATGTAAAAAAAAAACATACATAACTTGTATAAAAATATTCTTATAAAGGTTACATAGTGCAACTTTGTTTGTTTTTGAATGAATGTATCAGCTTTTATAAATTTTCAAAGCTATGTAACAAAGAAAGCAGACATTCAATGGGTTTTGCACAATAATTTTCATGTCATGTGACCCACTGACACAAAACATATATTAAACTACTCTACTAGAACTGACAGACAAGGCACTCTGATTAATTTATCATTTTAAAGCATTTTCTAATTTTACACAATTTATTTGTTCAAAAATCATGGTTTTCGCTCAATAACTCAATAGAAAACGCTTTCAAATGAGAAATGAATGATGGTGTCTTGTGTGTCAGGTCTAGTAGAGTAGTTTAACATTCGTTTTGTGTCAGTGGGTCAAATGATGTAAAATATATACATTTTTGTTTCTGAAGAGTGTTAGATGTGGTAATTTGTTGATGGTCCCTAAGCGAACCATTACGTCTCAGAAGAGGAACAGACTGAGTTTCAGCTGACTGAAGCTGGAAATGCTGGTCCATCCATCCATCCATCCATCCATCCATCCATCCATCCATACATCCATTATCTTCTGTTTGTTCCCAAGTCTGGTCGTGGGGACAGCAGCCTGAGAAGGGAGGTCCAGACATCTCTTTCCACAGCCTCCTCTTCCAGCTCTTCTGGGAGGACTCCAAGGCATTCCCAGGCCAACTGAGAGATGTAGTCTCTCCAGCGATTCCTGGGTCTTCCTTGGGGTCTCCTCCCAGTCGGACATGTCAGAAGCGTCTCCCTAGGCACCCAGGAAGCATCCTTACCAGATGCCTACCACCTCAACTGGCTCCTCTTGATGTGGAGGAGCAGCAGTTCTACTGAGTCTCTCCCAGATAACTGAATGTCTCACCCTATGCTAAACAATGATAATATAATATAATATGATGTATTATACAGCAGCCTGAACATGAGTTTGTTGTGAGCAGATGGGTATGAATATGGCATCATGGATAATCGTCAGCACAGATAAAGTGTCAAATCTCCAATTCAACTGGAATAACAATGATTTTCCTGGTTAGGGATTTATAAGTTTTACAGCTTCAGGGTAGAAGCTGTTCCTCAGTCTGCTCTGGGTCTGTTACACTTCCATCCATTCATCCACTTTCTATACCCTCTCACGATTAGGACCCATGTAAAATTATCAATTTTGAATAAGTTGCCTCATATGTTAGTGATCCTACTACTTTTGCAAACTGAGACCTCGGCCATCCTTCACTACAAAACAGAAAACTCCTGAATTAAAGGCCTAACGTCCATGCTGCCTTTCATGGCAACAACTTATTGTAGGTTCGTTTGTTTCCTTGACAAACCCTGAACTGGAAAGTGCATGTGGACTGGGTTGCTGTGTGAGTGCATTGTGACTTTTATGTGTTGGGCTGATTGTTCTTGGACGGGCAGGTTGGGACTTGTCTCCATCAGGTCGTCATGGAAACAGCCACAGCTGTTTGAGCTACAGCAGCCAAATGTGACTCCCCTCTCAGCTTTGACTGATCTCCATCCATCCATTATTTTTACCCGCTTCTTCCTTTTTGGGTCGCGGGGATCACTGGTGCCCAAATCTCTCGATGTTTAAATGGACCCTCACTTCTGACTGGTCAGCCAAGATACAGATTTATATCTCTGTATCCGGCGCTAAGGTGAAACTTGCACTACTTTCACTGTACGTTTGTCAGTTTGTATGGATTCATAGGCTGATGAGAAAAAAACATCCATTCATCCATTATCTTTTACCTGCTTCTTCCTTTTTGGGTCACTGATGCCCATATTCAGCCATCACTGTGTGAGAAAAAACATTTGAACTGCTGGTCAGTTTGTCCCTCTGCCAAATCATACCTTCACTTTGTACCCAGCTGTTGCCATTTTGTGTCTATTGTTTACACAATAGTTACCACTTCACAAAACAGTTATGCAAATCAATAAATTACAGTTACATTACTTGAGAATGACTCTCATCTACTATCATACAAAGTGTTAGCTTAATATCTGTAAAACTGACTGAGTTAGCCATTTTTTGTGATGGGTGATGCTGATTACCTGGGACAGCTATCTTAAATTGGGATAACTCCAAAAGTTAATCAGTTGTAAATGCTCATCCAATTAATTCAAGTTCATAAATGAATTATTTTCTAGGAGTTTCATTAGGATATGTCCTGTGTTTCTTAAGATATTTGTAGGAAAAGGCTATATTAAAAAAAGTAAAATCAGGCTAGCTAAAAGTAATAGCTAAAAGATGAAAGTAGAAATAGGTAAGGTAAAATTTAAAGTAGGGGAAAACTAGAAAAAAAGCTAAAGGTAGCAAAAGCCTATGGAATTATGTTTTGTGTAAAAAAAATATTTGTTTGTATGCAAGTATAAAAGTTGCATAAACCAGAAATCCTAACAGCTATCACCTGATTGAGCTGAACTTTATAGTTTGCATTGCTAAAATAACACAACTAAAGTGTAGAATAAAAACAAAACAGCTATTTTTCTTTAATTTAACCTGGTGCTTTGCACTGGTTCCTACTTGTATGGCGTTTGGCGGCAAATTTGATGTATTCAGAGACCTTTAATAGAAACTCAGGGGCTCAGACAGTTTGCATGTAGGGCGGGACAAGACAAGCAAATCACGTTTTGTCCCACCGCAACTTTTCGCGCTATTCAGGTACTAATAGCGCCATTCGTACGCCCCACCTGTCTCCATGGCTCTCCATCTGTGCCATCTTTCAGGTGCAGAGCTAATTACAGCAAACCCCAAGAGACAAAAGCCTCAGTGATTAGGTCAGCGGCGTCATCAGAGGCTGTATGCAAATAAACGCCTTTGACACCGTGGGAGAGAAGCTGCCCAAATCGATCGGCACAAAGTCGAAGATTGTCTATACAGACAAGAACGTACTCTGTTCTAAGCGTTTGCCTTTCCATTTTTCAGGGAGCTTCAGCGATTGTTTAAACTGATACACAAAAATGCGAACATTAAAACTTCATATCATGTGGTTATTTGCAAAACAATGCATATAATATCAATTGAAAACAGCAGCGCTTCGCATTTGTTAACGTGTGGTGATGTGACAATTCCTGTTCCGGAGTGACACCTCTTTCTCCTAATTACATATCTTTGCATTTAGCGCGCCGGCTGCCCCGCCAGCAAAACCGTGGAGGCGTGATTAAAAAAACAACAACCAGAGAACGGTGGTGCTGATTGGTTGACGCTGATTGACGACACTAAGAAGCTGGGCTCTGATTGGTCGAAAGGATCCAGCTGCCTCAGAGCGCCAGAAAACAAGCTTGAGCGGGTGTTGCTGAAGTTTACACAGGACAGAATGTCCGCTATGACAGGACTAGTAATATTAGCTGTTTAGAGCTGCCCGCTACTTTTCAAGAGGGAAGGCTACTATGTTGGACTGAAGAGGCTACGTAGTGACAAGAGTGTAAAGCTGAGCCCCATTGGGATATTTCATTCATTCAACAAGACTACAAGGTGAACATTTCACTTTTACCTCCTCAGTATTAAGGTCACCTGAGCTACTATTCACGGCTAAACAGCATATTCAAGTTAAATTAGCCTTAATGGCTGTTTATTAGCAACGGAAGTGCATTTATTCTTGTTCAAAAGCTAATTTGCCGGTATTAGGAGGTTGTAATTGGGCCAAGTTAAGTGAAGTGGTTAGTATAATGCGTTATAAAGTAAATTAAACTTTGTTTGTAGCACCATAATAACGTGTTGGGTTCATAACTTGTCACATTAGCTACAACCTTGAGTTAAAACTTGAAGCTGCATATTGTTAGCTTTGCTAAATGCTAGTTAGCTGAAGTTATTTGCGCCAAATTCTTCTGACCACTGGAATGAGTTGAATTATTTGTGTTCTTCCCGCCGGGCTTTAAGGCAGATTATTTCCTTCAGATTATCTGGACATTGTTTGTATTCTGACTGCAGGTTCTGTCGCAGATGGAAGTTGAATGTCTGTTACTAAAAGACCTCAGCAGTCCGAGGAAGAGCTTCTCTGAGGAGGAGGAGGAGGATGAAGGGCACAGTGAACAGAAAGTGAGCCAAGATGTTTACTTCTCTAAAGTCTGGAGTTTTATACATCAGGTCCGAAAAATGTTTCTTTTACCAAAAATATGAGTCATATTTTCTAAAAACAGAAAGTTGAAACAGCTCTCTTCAGCTACGTATTATTAGAGAAATGGGATTTCCTGTGAAAAGGCAGTGTGAACGCTTATTAGCTGAAGAACTTGATGAAAAACAGCTGAAATTAGCTAAAAATCATGCTGACATGTAGCTGAAATGAAAGAACAACTCTAAATTAGCAGACGAAAGCAGAAAGGATACATATTTGCTGAAAAAAGCTTAACTAAGCAGAAATTAGCACAAATATTAGGAAAGTAGCTAAAAATAATCTGAAATTAGCAACAAAACACATGCTGAAAAGTAGCAGAAAGAAGCTCTAACTAACAAAAGGAGGTGGAAAGAGCTTAAATTAGCTCAATAAATGTGGAATTGGCTGAAAATTAGCATCAAAACAGCTAAATAGTAGCTGAAGTAGCAGAAATGATTGAAACTAGCATAATTAAGCTGAAAGGAGTATAACAAGCTGAAATTAGCTTTGTTTTCTTCTTCTTTCGGCTGCTCCCTCTGTGTGGAGCAGAGAGCTGCTGTCTAGGGCGCCTGGGGAAGCAGATGGTAGGTGTTAAGGGCCTTGCTCAAGGGCCCAGAGTGGGGCAGCTGAAGGTGGAGGCAGGTGTGGGTGCTTCACCTTTCCCACCCACATTTTGATGTTGTCTGTACCGGGAGTTGAACGAGCGATCTTCCGATCACAGGCTCACCTTCGCTAACCTCTGCGCCACCACTCCCACACAAAAAGAAGTTAGTTTTGCTGACAGCAGCTGAAATTACCATGAAAAACTTGGAATTTATCTGACAACAGCCGATATTAGCTAAAAACGCTAACGAGGTAGCTGAAAAGGTAGAACAAGCTCATATTAGCAGAAGAAAGCAGAAGGATCATGTTTGCCCAGATAGGCTACAAAAAGCAGAAATTAGCACAAAAAAGGGGAAATTATCTGAAAAAGTTGAAATTAGCAATAAAAACAGCTGAAAAACAGCTAAAAAAGAAGAAAGAAGCTAAAGTTACAAGAAGGAAGTGGAGAGAGCACATTTTTGCTGAATTAAGGTGAAAAAAGTTGAAATGAGTGTAAAAAAATGTGGAATTAGCTGAAAAAACTCAAAATAGCATTAAACAGCTAAATAGTAGCTGAAAAAGCAGAAACTTGCAGAAAAAAGTTGAAAAGAGCACAACAAGCTGAAATTAGTAGAAAGAGTTTAGAAGAAGCACAGAAATGCTGTAGTTAGCAAAATCTGAAAGGAGCATAAAACAGCTGAAATTAGCTGAAAGGAGCTGAATAAAGTGAATATTTGACAAGGCAGCTGAAGGAAGCTAAACCACAACAAAATTAGAAAGGAGCAGTAAAAGGTTATAAACACATATAAAGATCTGAAGGATGTAAAATGAGCTCAGTTCATTTCCAACATATGAGGGAAAAATGTCATAAAAGGCTAAATATTTCAAAAAGCTGAAGTTGCACCAATACCAAAAGTCATGGCAGGATTGTCCTGAAAGAGCTGAACGTTTTGATTTATGATTTGTTGAAACAGATTGAAAGCTGTGGATCACAGTAGAGTGCATGCTTCATAAACATTCACAGAATAAAACACAGCAGATTAACTTTAGGAGGACATCTGAGTTCAGATGGCCGCCACAGGAAAGAGATCTTATCCAACATAAAAATGTCTTTAAACAAATGTTTCAGCACATTTTGAAATGATGGAGAACAAGGAGAGACTTCACAGATCTAATCCTGAAACTGTTTCCATCACAGGAAAATGTGCACACGGAGAGGAGAAGGTCAACCCCGCTGAAGTCGGCAGACTCCACCGTCCCCGTTCTGCTGGTGAACAGGAAGGGCTCCAGTCCCGATCTGAGCCACATCACCCCCATGAAGCAGGCTGCTCTGGCAGAGCCCTGGACGCCCACGGCTAACCTGAAGGTGCTGCTCAGTGCGGCCAGCGTGGACATCCGGGACAGAGAGATGAAAAAGGTTCTGTTCAGACCGCTGGAGAACCACAAGGACGAGCCGCCCAGCTCCGACACCTTGGAGGAAACGGAGGTGGAAGACTCTGCTCAGGTACGAGAGCTTTTTAATACAAATGGAATATTAACGCTGGCTCGGTAGAGCTGCTGCCAGAAGGTCTCCGGTTCAAATCCCGGCTCGGGACCTTTCTGGGTGGAGTTTGCATGTTCTGTGTGCTGTGTGATTTTCTCTGGGTACTCCAGTTTCCTCCCACAGACCAAAAACATGCATGTTAGACTGATTGGTAACTCTGAATTGTCTAAAGAAGTGGGTAAAGTGGATGGCTGGATGGATAGCTGGATGGATGGATGGATGGATAGCTGGATGGATGGATGGATGGATGGATGGGTGGGTGGCATATTAACCACCAGTGAACACTGTAAATGTAGGCTCTTTTCCCTCACCTTGCCTCTGACCCCCCAGTTTGAAGAGGACGATGGAGAGAAGAAGCCAAGCAGGAAGCAGAAGAGTTTGGGTCTGCTGTGTCAGAAGTTCCTGGCTCTTTACCCAGACTACCCCCCACTTCACAGCGCCATCTGGATCACACTGGACGAGGTGGCAACCAGTCTGGGTAAGAACCGGTGACATAGAGTTGCATCCGTGCCCAAAAACTCTGACCCGACCCCACGAATTAACAGTAATTACAGGTCCGAACCCGGAAAAAAAACTCCCGACATTTTTAATTGAGCTTTGACTGCTTACATAGTTAGTAACAGTCAGCAGATGTGCACGGCTGAATAAAAGGGACAGAAGATCAGAGCTGAGGGGTTGTTTGTGCTTTCATGGCCATCAAAGCACATTCTGCATTATTCATACATGGACCCTGCTCTGACATGTCTGCTGTGTGACCTCACCTGTTTGGGTCATCGGCCGTGCGCGTCCTCTGAGTGCAGCAGCTGAATGAACGTCCATTTGAGCGATGGATCACTTCCGGGCAGTACAGTCCCATCTGAAGCTTAACTGAACTTTTTACCTCTTTCAACCAGCCCGTCAACTCACGGTGAAATGGCCACGTGCAGCTGGTGAAGGTATGGCAACACATGTTGCCATATAATTGGTTCGTCAGCCGTGCTCGTCCACTGACGAAATCAAAAGACCGTCCCAGGCCACACCTAAAGCACATTATTATGGCCTGGCCCTAATCCGGGACGGGCTTCGGGCTCGGGTTAGAAACGACAGCTCTACAATGACACGGGTCTGACCGCAGAGCTGCTGGGGATTATAATCTGGTTTTAGCTGCTGTAAAGCCCACATGAAGAATGAATAGGATCAAAACATGTCTTCATGAACATTTTAAACAGACTCATCTCAGAGGTAGTAAATGCTCAGTCAGCATGTACTCTGTTTTGTTTCTTTCTAAGCAGGTGAAGTCAGGTCCTCTAGACGGATTATGTGTTCTTCAACAAGAAGAATCTGTCCAGAGGACCTGACTTAGATTTTTCTAGCTGGATTATGAAGCAGCATCAGGACATTTAGTTTCTTTATTTTTCTGTACCGTTTAACAAATGAACTACTTCTGCAGACTTTATTGTAGCCATCCTCGTTCAGCTCTTTCAGGAGAGGCGTGCTATAACTTTGTTTTTGTTCACATTTATATTTTTCACAATGTTTAATCTTATTTACAAAAAAAAATACAAATCCAGAAATAAACGCTGAGATCTTATTTCCATCAAAAAGTATTGTTCTCTCTGAACTCTGTCTCAGCACTCTTGCTCTATTTTTGTCAATTTTGCTACTTTTAGCTGCTTTTCTGTTACTTTAAGCTTTTACTGTTATCCTTTTAGCTATTTGCTACTTTTAGCCACCCGTTGCTACTTTTCACTTCAAACCATTCAGCGTTTTGAGTCTTTTCCTTTAATCAACTTTTTCTACTTTTTAGCTGCCATCCTGCTTTTTCTTTTAGCTTGCCTTTTGCTACTTTTAGTTATCTTGTGTTTTTTTGCTTATGTTTTGGCACTTTTAGCTTTTAACTAGCCTTTAGCTGTTCTTAGCTTTCAGCTTTTTACTTTTAGCTGTCTTTCTATTACCGGCATTTCTGCTAGCCTTTTTGAACTTTTTGCTTTTACTTCCACCTTATTTCTTAAGGCTGGCTGCTCATATCATCACAGTCCCTGTGACCCACATCTTCAATCTCTCCATAAGACAAAACTCCATCCCAGACACTTGGAAAACAGCCTTTGTTCTTCCTTTGCTGAAGGGAGGAGACCCCACCTCACTGAACAACTATCGACCAATCTCTAAACTCTGCATTTTAGCCAAGGTTCTAGAAAAACTGATAAACTCTCAAATCAAAAATTACCTGGATTCATCTAACATCTTACCTAGCCTTCAATCTGGTTTCAGGAAACAACACAGCACAACCACTGCTTCACTGAAGGTTCTTAATGATGTTGTTGAAGCACTGGATGCTAAGGATTATTGTGCTGCACTTTTCTTAGACCTGTCTAAAGCTTTTGACACTGTGGATCATAACATCTTGTGTCATAAGCTCTCAGAAATCTGTTTCTCAGAACACACCATTGGTTGGTTCTCTAACTATCTCTTAGACCAATGTGTTCAACATAATGGTACTTCCTCCAGTTATTTAACAGTCAACAATGGTGTACCACAAGGCTCAGTCTTAGGACCCACCCTCTTTACAATCTACATAGGTAATGTGAGCAGAGCATCCATACATTTCTACGCTGATGACACAGTTGTTTATTGTCGAGCTAAAACAGTTGCTAAGGCTTTCCAGCTTTTGAAATCTGCATTCAACATCATCCAGTCTGATTTGTTTTGCCTCAAATTGATGCTAAACACCGACAAAACCAAAGGAATGCTTTTTTCAAACAGGAAGTCGGTCCCAGCAGTTCTTCCTCTGATTTTATCCTCAAATTTTTTATCCTCAGGTCTCTCTTGTAAATGAGTCCCTGAGACTCAAAGGGATTAACCTATATAAATAAAGCTTGAATGAACTTGACCTTTTGCTACTTATAGCCAGTTTTCAGCTACTTTTATCAATCTTTCTGCTCTTTTTAGTCAGACAGGCAGAGATTGATTGATTATTAAACCCGGGGGGGGGGGGGGGGGGTAGATGCATCCAGTGGTTAATTAATTAATGTACACGTTAGTTAATCTTTCGGCTCCTTTTAACTATTATGCTTTTTGCTCTAAATAACTTTTTGCTCTTTTTATCTTTTAACCAGCCTTCTGCCATACTTAGCTTCTAGCTAGTCTTTTGATACAGTTAGCTTGCCTTTCAGCAGTCACTCTGGATTTTCTCAGAAGATACAATCTTAAAATAAATCTTGTTCTCGAACCAACAGCAGCGTCACACCAGCTGTGATCTGGTTTTTGATGAGAACTTTTGTTCTGTGGTTCTCCGTCAGGCGTGGAGCGACGCCGGATCTATGATATCGTCAACGTGCTCGAGTCTCTCTCCATGGTGGGCCGGTTAGCCAAGAACAGCTACACCTGGTACGGCCGCCAGCGGCTGCCGGCCACACTGGAGGAGCTGCAGCGGCGGGGCCGAGAGCAGGGCTACCACCTCCAGATGGACCTGACTGCTGAGAGCAGGACGGCTGGGCAGAGCCGAGAGGATGACGGAGGGGAGGGAGACGCTGGGAACGGTAAAAACAAGAAGACATTTCTTGATTTCTGTTTATTATGTAAAGGATAATAAAATCAGTGAGTTGAAATAGTGCTTATATATTTTACTGTGACTCTGTAAAATAACAGAACCTGATTAGTGAGCTAACTTTCATTATTCATTTATTTCATTATTTTATTTTTCCTCACTTGCTCTCGTATGACGTGGACGCGTTCTCTTCCCTCTCTTGTTCTCCTCCTGCTTCTTTTGCTCTCTGTCTGTGTATCGGAGCTCCTATTTTACACATCTTCCTGAAATGAAAACTGCTAGTATGGATTTGATCAGCTGGACTTTCAACGCAATCGACAAAATCTTTTTGAGAAAGCGACAGGGTCCTGGAGAACCCTCATGTCCCGCTGAGAATCGTCTCAGGAGGACGCCCAAGACGTATACAATCAGATTTTTGATAACAGGTTTCCTGCTTTTTGGAATCGGCTGGTTCCTGGTCTAGCAACATACAAGAAGACAACTGCAGCTCATTTAGCCCTCGTCAGGCTGCTGCCTTTTAACGGTTTGGTTTGTGCTTTGAGGACTCAAAATTAGCTGATTTACGAGCTAAACCGTAAGCTGGAAGTGATTTGGGAGAATCACAGGCCACCTGCGGCTTTGGGACTCGTCAGCATGCTGGAAACAACCTTGAAGGGGCTCGTAAGCACAGACCAGTAGAATGCACCATAATCTGGCCATTTTGGATCTTGAAAGTACCAGCAGGACTCAAGGCTGACAAGAAAAATAATCTGCCTGAATCTGATTCCCCCGATTGGCCGACATATTAGTTTCTCCTGGGAAATGTGTAAACTAAAGAAAACTGTGGAGGCTTATCAGAACCGTGCCTGCTGACCAACATGGTCTATCTGGAAGTGCTTCATGCTTCATGGACCACTTTGCCATCAAACGCACATGTAACGTGTTCGTAAATGTGCTGGCAGAGTTTTGTGATGTCTTAAATCATGTCCTGATAGGACAAGGTGTGAAAAGATCTTTTTTTGTAATGCTGCTATCCTCTCCTCGTGGATTTTTCCCTTTTCTATCTAAAATGTATTCTGAGAAGGATAGCAGCAGCTACGTGCACTCCGCCCATCTTTCAGACGACTGTACGAACATATTCTCGCTGTATCTCGGTACAATGATAATAAAGCTTATTCTGATTCATCTCTAAAGAATAAATTTGGGGTAAAAATCCCATTTGATCGAAACTTATTTATATTTTTTAACTAACTGGCATGATATAAACTTACAATCGAGTGTGTAAAATGAGACCATATATGTTTTTGTATGTTATTACTGTACTTCTTTTAAACAGTTAATATTACGTGTAACTTGTTTCCGTAGGTTCGTGTGTTCCTTTGATTCATTCAGTGAAGCTGTCTGTACGTTGTGGGACTGAGTCAAAGCAACGAGTTTGAAATAATATTATCGGCTTATTGTTCTTTACTCATGTGTTTTCAGTTCTTCGTGTTTCTCTCTGTTTGCAGCTGGGAGCAACAGAAAGGACAAATCTCTGCGCATCATGAGTCAGAAGTTTGTCATGCTGTTCCTGGTGTCCAAAACTCAGACCGTGACTTTGGATGCAGCAGCAAAGGTCCTCATCGAGGAGAGTCAGGACTCCTCGAGCCACAGCAAGTACAAAAGTAACCAACCCTGCAGATCTGCAGCATGTCGTCCTGCTCTGCCAGCAGCCCCAGTTAAAAACAGAAGAGTTTAATATAAATGCACTTTCTTTGTGTTCCTTCAGCCAAGGTGCGGCGTTTGTACGACATCGCCAATGTGCTGACCAGCTTAAACCTCATCAAGAAGGTTCACGTGAGAGAGGAGAAAGGCAGGAAGCCGGCCTTTAAGTGGCTGGGCCCCGTGGACTTCAACAGCTCCAGTAAGAAACTAGAAAAACATGACTGCTGAAAGACTTGGCTTAAGAAGCTAAAACTGAGCTACTGAAGTCAAAACAAACAGATTACTGACTAAAATGAGCAGAGCATGCTAAAATCAGAAAGCAACAGATGTTAGAAGAACAAAACACTACCTGAACTTAGTTCATCTGCAGCTAAAATGTCCAACAAAAGGTAAAATGAGCTCAACAGATGCTAACTGTACTTAAAACCTAAATTTAGCAAAACCATAGTTAAAAACAAATATTCGCTAAACATTAGCTAAATATTATTATTAAAACAGATTCTGAAGATATAATTACCGTATTTTCCGGCGTATAGGTCGCATCAGTCACAAACATCACAAAGAGGAAAGAAATCATACAGAAGTTGCTTTGGCGTGTAAGTCGCATTTATTATGCTTTTATTTAATGGTCAAAACAGCTTTATTTTGCCTGGGTGGTGCAGCGCCATCCATCCATCCATCCATCCATCCACTCACCCATCCATCCATTGGGGCCGGAGTCGCTAGCTCTCCATCGTTCCTCCGCCTGCACCAGCTGAGTGAAGCGAGCACACACAGGAGCACTCACTGTTGCAGTTCTTAGAATTTTAAAGCATAGTCAAAAGCCGAGTTATGAATATGGGGAAAAAAGTATATAAGTCGCAGGACTGACAAATCTATGCAAAAAACTGTGACTTATACGCCGGAAAATACGGTAGCTAACATTACTTAAAACAGATGCTAAACCTGAAATGACCCCTGCTGTAAATAAATGAAAAAAATTAGCACACCAGTGCCTAAAAATTATATTTAGCAAAACTGTAGTAATAAGTAAAAAAAAAAATAAAAATAGAACAATAGTAGCTATGAATTGAAATTAGCCAAACAGGTGCTAATGAGTGAGTCACTAATTAAACTATTAAACAGCGACTACAATTACCAGTAGCTAAATGTATGCTAACGCTAAAATTAGCGCAACAGATGCTTCAAGTAATATGAGCAAATCGTTACCTGAAGTTTGCAAAGGTGTAGATAAAATTAGCATAACAGTAGCCGAAAGTTAAACAGAATTTCATCGGTAGTTGAAAGAGAAAATTAGCTAAACTGTAGCTATAAATTACAAACGAGCAACAGCTGAAATTAACACAATAGTCGCTATAAATAACCAAAATAGATGGTAAAGCTAAAATTAGCAAATCAGAAAAATAAAATGAATGGGGCAGTGATGGCGTAGAGGTTAGAAGGTGGGCCTGTGATTGGAAGGTTGCTGGTTCGACTCTCCATACAAACAACAACAAAATGTGGGCGGGAAAGGTGATGCACCCACACCTGCCTCCACCCTTATTTGCCCCACTCTGGGCCCTTGAGCAAGGCCCTTAACCCCCACCATCTGCTCCACACAGAGGGCTGTGGTAACTCACTGGTCTGTGGTTGCGACAGGAAGAACATCCAGTATAAAAACCATCACCAAGTCTTGGTGCGAGTTAGTTCGCTGTGGTGACCCCTGAAGAAGGAGCAGCTGAAAGAAGAAGAAAACTAAAATGAATGTTTTGAAAGTCATAACGACATCTCAGTGTATTTTTATCGGCTACTGTAATTCTTTGTAAATAAAGTTAAAACAAGTGCTGACATCATTCAAAGCTATTTCACTAGAGTAGCTGTGAAACTGGAACGTCCGACTCTGCGGTGGTTTGAATGAAACAAGTCGTTCAGCGTTCTGTCTCGTTCTAACAGCTCTGTTGCATGTTCTGTAGAAAACACGCTGAACACAGCGGCCGTGTGTCCGCGTGAGTCGGCGCCGTCAGCTAACGAGCAGGACTTCAGGACGACGAAGCTGGCTCGTCACGCCTCCTTCAACGTCACGCCCACATCAGTCGCTGCGCTGCGGCAGGTCAACTCCGCCCCCAGCAGCCCTGGTCGTCACTCAACAGGTGGGGAACACGCCATCCTAAAACCTGCGTGATGTCTGCGTCTTCATTTTAAACCGAGTAAACAAAATGTTTTTTGCGTCACAGGTCTGTCCAGCCAGTCTGCAGATTTTTCCAGAATGTCTGTGAGCAGCAGCTCGGTGTGTCGACTGCAGTTTGGAAGCAGCACTGAGTGAGTTCATCTTTAAAAAAACTTGACTTTCTGAAAAGCTTTTGGGCAAAATGTTCTAATGTAGGAAGTGATGGTCCTATAACATTTTTTAATTTAAACTTTATACATGTAGTCTAGGGCTGGGCGATATGGACCTAAATTAATATCTCGATATTGTATGATAAATCACGATATACGATATATATCTTGATATATTTGTCTTTCCATAAAGTAATAACAAAATATATTTCTGAGTCAAAAGTTACGCCCCAGTTGTCACACAGGCACATTTATTAACAAACAACTGTAACTCTACAAAATAAATGTCTAAAAAATAAACTATTTACATGCATTAGTTTATTTTTTAAACATTTATTTACATATATTAAATAATAATCCTCTTCAGCTGAGGGCAGCTGTGGAGCAAGACGGCTAAAGCGTTAGCCGTCTTGTTAGCCGCTAAGGACTGTGTCTTTAGCGATATGATAAGCTGCTGATTTATTAATGTGGCCACCTCTCTGTGCTCTTCTCATAAAGCACAGCTAAATGAGCTCTGACCCGTGGTTTGTTTCAAGGAAGCAGCAGGTTGAAAAAACACTCAGAGCTGCAGCTTCACGGTTCATATTCCACTTCTTCTTCTTCTTTCTTATTCTTCTTTCGGCTTTTCCCTCTTCAGGAGTCACCACAGCGAGTCATCCACCTCCACCTCACTCTGTCCTCTGTCTCCAGACCATACAATACAGCTGGTATCACTACTGTCTTGTAAACTTTTCCTTTGACTTTTGCTGACACCTTTTGTCACAAATCACTCCTGAAACTTTTCTTCATCCACTCCATCCTGCCTGGACTCTCTTCTTCACCTCTTTACCACATTCCCTATTTTCCTGGACAGTGGACCCCAAGTACTTGAAGTCCTGCACCTTTGTGACCTCTGCTCCTTGTAGCCTCACTGTTCCACCTCCTCCCTCTCATGCACACACACGTACTCCGTCTTACTACGGCTGCCTTTCAAGTGCCTTTCTTCTTCTTCCAAGTTCTCTTCTACCTGTTCCTTGTTCTCACCACAGATCACAATGTCATCTGCAAACATCATCGTCCATGGGGATTCCTGCCTGACCTCATCTGTTAGTCGGTCCATCACCAGAGCAAACAAGAAGGGGCTCAGAGCCGATCCTTGATGCACTCCCACCTCCACCTTGAAGCTATCTGTCACTCCTACAGCACATCTCACCTCTGTCCTGCTGTCCTCATACATGTCCTGTACCACTCTAACATACTTTTCTGCCACTCCAGATTTCCTCATGCAATACCACACCTCCTCCCTCAGCACTCTGTCATATGCTGTTTCTAAATCCACAAAGACACAATGGAGTTCTTTCTGACCCTCTCTGTACTTCTCCATCAGCATCCTCAAAGCAAAGATGGCATCTGTGGTGCTCTTTCTTGGCATGAAACCATACTGCTGCTCACAGATAGTCACCTCTCATCTAAGTCTTGTTCCACAACTCTCTCCCAGATCTTCATCGTGTGGCTCATCAACTTAATTCCCCTGTAGTTGCTACAACTATACTCCAGTCCGCTGTTTAAATGGTGAAAAAGATTCGTAGTTCCGACCTTTCGTCGGGACTGTTTTCAGCATTATCTACAGAAATCATTTCTCTGCCCCTCATCTGACAATTTAAATCCAAACTAGCTCTGAAAGAACATTGTTTTTTTTCCTCAGCAGCTAATCTGCTCTTCATATCTGCCGTGTTTACTTGATGTGCTAAACGTGTCCGCCCTGCAGGAGGAGGAAGGAGGGGAGCGTGACTGAGGGGCTGGGTTTGTGTTCAGTGAGGGAGAAGGAGCGGGGCGAGAGGGAGAAAGAAGGTAGCAAGTATAAAACTATATAGTTTATATCAAGATATTATCAACTTATATCGCAAAAAAATAATAATCTCGATATTTTAAAAATATCGAGATATCGCCCAGCCCTAATGTAGTCTCACTGAGTCATGAGGACTCGCTTTCAAGAGAGACCTGTTCTAGACAGACAACATAAAGTACAGACAACAATCCAACATTTTTCAGTCAGGTCATCTGGACAGTTTTTTTTTGTGCTGAAACGTTTCGCCTTCGATCCGGAAGGCTTCATCAGTCAAGGAAACACACAACACAAAACTGATTCTTCCCCCAACAGCTTACTCCAAAGTGGAACAAACCAGTTCTGCTTGTCAGACTGTCAACAAGGAAGAGGGCCGGGAATGGAGGAGGGGCGTACCAAAGAGACCATCTAATCACAAGCAGAACTGGTTTGTTCCACTTTAGAGTAAGCTGTTGGGGGAAGAATCAGTTTTGTTGTGTGTTTCCTTGACTGATGAAGCCTTCTGGATCGAAGGCGAAACGTTTCAGCACAAAAAAAGAAACTGTCCAGATGACCTGACTGAAACATGTTGGATTTTATACCTGGATTATTGAGCATGGACTTTGTTACAGACAACAATACACAACAAAAAAGAACTTAAAACAAAAATGTTATAAAAACACTGTTACTGTTAGCAGCATGGTCCTGTTAGCATATCAGTCCTTTCAGCAGCGTGGTTCCACCAGCAGCATAGCCCTGTTAGCGTGGTACTGTTAGCAGCGTGGTGCTGTTAGCAGCGTGGTGCTGTTAGCAGCGTAGTGCTGTTAGCAGCGTGGTCCTGTTAGCAGCATAGCCTCGATAGTGTGGTGCTGTTAGTAGCGTGGTGCTGTTATCAGCGTGGTCCTGTTAGCAGCATAGTCCCACCAGCAGCATAGCCTTGATAGTGTGGTGCTGTTAGCAGCGTGGTCCTGTTAGCATATCAGTCCTTTCAGCAGCGTAGTTTCACCAGCAGCATAGCCCTGTTAGCGTGGTACTGTTAGCAGCGTGGTGCTGTTAGCAGCGTGGTGCTGTTAGCAGCGTGGTGCTGTTAGCAGCGTAGTCCTCTTAGCAGCATAGCCTCGATAGTGTGGTGCTGTTAGTAGCGTGGTGTTGTTAGTAGTGTGGTGCTGTTAGTAGCGTGGTACTGTTAGCAGCCTGGTGCTGTTAGCAGCGTAGTGCTGTTAGCAGCATGGTCCTGTTAGCAGAATAGTCTCATCAGCAGCATAGCCTCGATAGTGTGGTGCTGTTAGTAGCGTGGTCCTGTTAGTAGCATAGTCCCACCAGCAGCATACCCTCGA